TATTAACAATTTTGAGATACTATGAATTGCTATACTAATCCTAGGCGGTTCGAGCTCCTCCCTCGAAATCCCGAGTTTATGTCTAAACCTCAATCCCTACTTTTATGTAAAATTTATTCCTATTCCTAATCAGCGTTCGCTCGAATAAAATATACTGGCTTTTTGTATTTTGTTGGTTTTAAATGCAAAAATATAAGGCAGCTATTGTGATTTCAATCCAATAATTAGACACATGTTTCAAAATTCAGGCGTGAGAAACTATTGAGTTTCTCTCGTCCAGAAAGTGTTTTTTCGCCTGGATGTTTTTTTCTTTCCTTGACATAGAAAGTCGCCTTAGCGTTCTTGAACGTAACTACGTGTTTAGATACTGAGGTTATTTGACGTTACGTTTTGTGACCTATCGTGATACCAATGATTGATCTAATTAATGACTTCTTAGAGTTCTTTTACAGTGAGGACCTGTTACCGAGAGAAGTTTTGAGACCCTGAGAAGTTTTGAACACAAATGGCATACTTTGCAATCAAACATTTAAATAGATGCAGTAAATCTCCTGAAGCAGCAATGCAGTATCAACAAATAACCTGAATTTTGGTTTTGTTTTGACACTTCGTGGTTGTTTATTTGCACGCACATGTTTTAGGATATCTTCTTGAATGACATTTAATGAACATCGATTTGCATTTATGTCGCTTGTAGTCACGTGTGATTTAGCCTTATTCTTCATTATAACCCCATTTAGCAAAATAAGGCATTAGTTGACTTTAACTTTCTGCTGCTCGTACGACAGCTAAACATTTACTTAAACAATTGCAATCATGAAACTGATGTTGATTAAATTCAGTAATTTTTTACTGGTCATGGTTTAATTAGCAAATTGATGACAACAGTCTTAATGTCAAATTATTTCAAATACGATTAAATTAATTATTTTTATTTTCATTCAATTTTACCTGCTGAATATTAATACGCACGCCTGATAGCCATAATATAAATTTCTTTAGACTTATAGAACCCACGCCCAACGATAGGCTGCGCATAACGAGACTCCTCAACACACCACAAGTTGATGGTATAACAGATACGCGCGTTGGGTTCCGTGCTTAAGAATAACAATTAACCTAACTGCATGGTGCGTTCAACTGCTCTTGGGTGACACACAATCTACACTCACAGAAATTGTAATAACTATGACCGGTTAGGTATGCACTTTTTGTCATTGTATGGATCATCCTGACCCAGCTAAACAGCTCATTAGTGCTGCGGCCGCCCGCTGCTGGTGCTATGGGGAAGAAAGTGTTTCACCATTAGGACAAAATGACCCGTTATTTTTATGAGTGTTCAACGACGATATGGCGGGCAGAGTTTGTTTCTTTCACGGGTCAATTCTACTTGAGATCCTCGTACTGTGAGACACATCATTTTTGACCTCTACGAGGGACCCTTCGGAGTACAAAGATTGATACAGCTCGGTGACTATAAGGTATCTTATTAACGCTGGGGTCTCATAATATCGGACTAATAATGCTATTAGAGACAAAAAAACATGGTTAAAAACAATAAAACTGGTTTAATATTGTGAATTTTTCAGTTTTTATTACTTATTCGGTACAAGAAAACCTAGAACGTGCGTCATAATTGGGTTTAGTGTCAAGATTCTGGAGGTAACAACGGCCACCGATTGAATGCTGTATTCTATTACAATCCAGTGCCATTATATACCCAAGAATGCAGTGACATGTTCATTTTTGGAGGCTCTTAAATGGGATAATTATTTTGATGCGCAACAGGGTATGAATGCTAACGTGAACACCGTTGAACGGTCGCTACTCAGAACTGCTTGCAAGGGTGCAATTATTGTTTAACGGTTCAATGCGTCAACGATTTTCGACTCATTAATGAGAGTTCAAACTACCATATTATATACAATTAAAAAGTGTGCCCGTAAATTTATTATAAATAGATGCCAGATTAAAATACTTGTGTATCGTTACTTTCAAATAGGTTCTTCGGCGGGCCACATTACGAGTGTTTTGTCGCACAATAAAAGAGATAGAAGGCTTGCATTAATTCCCGGTGCACATATCACACCGGAACAAGGGAAAATTAGCGTTAACCGCGGTTATTCAACACGGATTTTGAGAGTATTTTTTCTGGCACCCAACCTGAAACCAAAATTCAGTTGCAAAGTTGAGAGTTATTGTTGAGTCAGTGATGCAAAATGACAGGACATTTTTGACGAGTTTTGTAATTAATATAAATAATATGTGTTTAAAAGTTACTTTTTAAAGACAACTCTTCAGTGTCTCTGATGTTACACATGTACAATAAATATATATATTTTTCCAATATTAAAATTTTTTGAAATTAATTAATATTAAAACATTTTTATATATAATTTCTTCTTTCAATTTTCAAAATTATTTATGCTGTCGATTGCTTCATGCATTGTCGCCAACTTTACGTAAGTGTGCAAAATTTCAGATCGATTGGACAGATAGAAGTGTATTAATAATCGATTATAAGATTTGTAGTAGACAAACAAACAACAGGAAGTAAAGTTAAAGAGAAGTGTTGTATTAATAATATTATGCGCTTAAAAATTAAATTTAAAAAATTAATTTTTAAAGACAACACTTCTAAAGAATCCAGTGTCTTCGATGTTACATACAGTATGTAGAATAAATTTCTAATTTTATTATAAAATATTACAAAAATTAATTTTTAAATTTCATTTTTAAAATTAAAAAAATTAAAATTTTCTAAATTATTTATTCTGTCAATTGATTCATGCATTGCCTCCGACTTTACGCTAATGTGCAAAATTTCAGATCGATTGCACAGGTAGAAGTGTGTTAAATATCGATTATAAGATTTGTCGCAGACAGACAAACAAACAAGAAGTGAAGTTAACGAGAAATGTTGTAAAAAACAGATGAGCACCCACGGTCGCTAGACTGAGCTGCATAATGATGTTGAGTAATAGACCCTACCACACATCCTTCTCCACCTTGCCCACTCTGCCTACCCAGCATGCATGACTCCATTTATCTTTTCTCCTGCCCTGAAATGCCCACATCCCTGTCGGTGGGCGACCTTTGAGCAAACCCAGTGAACGCCGCAGGGCTGCTGGCCCCAGAACTGGGTCTAGGCCCCGTCTCGCGCCGTGAAGCGAGGCGGAAAGGGACAGCAACATCAATGTTGAGCCATATGTAAACATTGCACTGAGAGATTTCAAAACTTCATTTCTATTCAAACTTAGGTAAAAAAGGTAATTTTCAGCTCATTTTAGACTGTTCCTACTTTTCACGAACTAACTTGGAATAAGTTTGTCAAATGAGCAACAATCTTGAGAATTGCCACGACGATCCTACAGATTTCGAAAAAGTTACCATGTCGAGTCAATGAGGGCAATATTGACAATTGTCAATTAGGTGTGGAAATTACAGCCAATTCTTTTCCAGATTAGTCCGATCGAAAAAGTAACTTCTCTGAGACCCGAACACCTCGATCCGGTACGTCTCGGAAAATTTTGCGGCTGGACTCGCGGCCGGTGTCCAAATTCAGTGAGCAAGGAATATACCCCAAAGTAATGAACGTAGCTCAATGAAACTTGGTTCACGTATTCATTAGGACCTAACAGTGATGTTTAACTCGTAAATATTTTTGGAATTTCACCTTAATTCGTGAGTTATATGAATCTCATATGACTATATACGTGCAGAAATTTGCAGTGAGCATGACATTTCTTCTAAACTACAGTACAGATTTGAACGAAACTTTGAATATAGAAACATAACCTTCCAACGGTAATTAGCTCGTGACATTTTTTTAGATTCTGCCTTCGTTTGCGAGTCATACGGATATACGGAGAAACGGCCGGCATATCTCAGGCCGATTTTTAAACTTGCATTGACCAGGAACAGAAAAAGTCTAGCCGTATAACTTGCAAGCGGAAGCAAAATGGGAAAAGTTGTCACGAGTTAAACATCACCGTTGGGAGGTTAAGTATTCACATGCAAAGTTTCACGTCTCGGACAAATTTACGGCCAGACCCGCGGCCGGTCTCACGGCCGCCGGACTCCAAACGTAGAGAAAACCTAGCCAATCAACGAAAACCTGGCAGGTTAGGTCCAGTTAGGAACAGGTTCAATTGAAAACACAAAAAAACCTAGAAAAACCCATAAATCACTAAGAAAACCTTTCCGGGCGCGAGACCGGCCGCGGGTCCGGCCGTAAATTTGTCCGAGACCTCAAAGTTTCGTTAAAAACTGTTTAGTACTTTTGGAGAAATTCTATGCTCACTGCAAATTTAAGCCCTTATTGCTGTTTAAATCACGAATGTTGGGAAAAAATCCCAAACGAAGGCAAAACCTAATAAATTGTCACGAGCTTAACATCACCGTTGGGTTTCTATACTCAAAGTTTCGTTCAAATCTGTACAGTAGTTTAGAAGAAATGTCATGCTCTGCAAATTTTGGCCCGTATCGTCATATAACTCACGAATTAAGGTGAAATTCCAAAAATTTTCACGAGCTAAACATCACCGTTTGGTCCTAATGAATACATGTACCAAGTTTTATCGAGCTACGTTCATTACTTTGGGAAATATTCCATGCTCGCTGAATTTGGACACCGGCCGCAAGGATCAGGGGATGCATGCCTGAGGTCCGGAATCCGACTAACTGACATTTTTAGCTTGACATAAAGTAAATAAGTCAAAACTGACACGTAGTAAATCGGAAATAATTCGGTAAAATGTTTTGTATATGATTTCTGTACCTGTCCAGGCAATTCTATATTGATTAGTTCGATTGAAAGATTCACTTTTCCGATACCCTGCTGTGATGGACGGACGAAATTTTTCAAAGCTAATTTATAAAACTTGATATGCAAAATTCCAAATTTATTGATGTTTTAAATGACATACAACCATTTATTATTTCGTCATCCTGGTTTGGTGGACCGGTCCGGATCTGAGATTTAGTCGGTACTTATCTGATTGTTGCCCTCGGCCCCTCGCGTAAGTCGCGTTGCAAGGTCGAACGTCGAGGTATTCAGCTATGTCCGAAATTGTGCTCGATAAGTAAGATATTGTCTGTAAACTCATGATAATTATTCTTAGATTTGAAATAATTGGAATTTTATTTATGCCAGTGGTAATGTATAGGAAGTTGTTACTTGATTGTAAGCTATGGCATGAGTCAACTGCAAGTCTTCAATTGTCTTACACAGTTACAGTCTGAGTCTGGGAGTCTGCAATGCCACTAGCTCTTAGGACGGTAGGGTACTACGTACTAGCCTCTGCTCACTGCTGAGTCTGCTCTAGGAGTCTGGGTACTGAGTGGGTACTGTCCTAGTCTCACAGTCACTGGTCCTAGCACAGCCTGAGGCTCTGAGCCTTTTCTACCGGCATAAATGATCAAACAGCAAGAATAGCTATCTGTCAATAATCTGATGAAGCTGGAACCTGGAAGCATTAAAAATTGAATTGACTCTAATCTTGATGTACTATAGTTTTTCAGGTGGAAAGATTTTTCATTGATGATTGATATGATAAGTATAAGCAACAGCTAGTAAGCTGTTGCTAATGATAGAAATGTGTCATTTTAACTCTACCTGATTTAGAATGTCTATTAGCCTATTAGGTAGCCTATATTAATGCCAGCTGTAAACTGTAATCAAGGTTTATCAAGTTATTTTGAATAGTAATGTACATGGTAACATGAACTATATTTAATATATAATTTTGATTCCAAGCTATAAAATTTTATCTAGTTTTGAATTTTATCAGCATTTTACATTCTATTATTATATAATTTTGGTATTATTGCAGATTAACTACATCCAAAAAAAAGGGTGTTTTTTTTTTAATTATATGTTTTTTGGGGTGTAGATTACGAATCTGAAATCCATTTTTGGCGGTCGGCATCGGAAAACCGATTTTTTGCAATAATACCGATCACACGTAGCGCTGTCTCTTATACACATCTAGATGTGTATAAGAGACAGGCGGTAAAGAAGACGAAAATGTTACCCGTTGCACTGCAACGGGTAACATTTTCGTCTTCTTTGTCCATAAATCTGGAGATACATTGCCACATCGAGAGATCACAACCTAACGCCAACTCGCAGGTTGGGTTGGTTCGCCCAGGTTCCTTTTAGATCAAAATGCTATCTAAAAAAAGGAACTTGGCTGACTTAACCC